AACTTCATCTCATTCACAGTACACGAGAGTTCTGATAAAATTTGAAGCTACGACTGCTTGTAACCACTTTTCAATCAATAAAAAACAGAGCCGCCAATGTTTTCAAAACCAAAAAAGTTAACAAAAACTCAAAACAAGATAATCAACTCGCATGTTCGAGAAAGTGCTTAAATAACCTGAATACACAAGGAACTGTTTCTCATAAAACACACTTACAGTTAACTGCTGTGGTCTCACTCCTTGCTGGCCTTGAATAACACTTGCTCCAGCAAATCGCTGTGCTTGAGCAGACGGTCTTGCAGTTCCTGCACCTGCAGCACCGTACTGCTGAGATCGGAGCGCTGCCCCTGTTGCACTTGTTGCACGAGCAGTCCCACGGCCAGCTTGTCCATACCCACCACTTTGAACTAAGAAAGGAGCTTGCACACCTAAAGATAAATAAAATCTTCAATGAAGTGATCCACTTTATACGCCAAAATCTACTAAGATCCTAACTATTCCAGCTATAGCCAACAAATAACTAAGAAATTTGAAGAGTGAAAAAACGGCGTCAAAATTTTAACATATCCTCCAGCGACTAAAAAGCAACACCACTAGATCCTCCAACGCTTCACATTAAAAACATCTCAGAAATATACTGAATATCACTAACCAAAACCAGTAGCGGTAGAACCAATAGAATTCCATTTTGGAGCAGAACCTCGCATTTGAGCACCCGGAATAGTCGCTGGCATAAATGCAGCAGTACGCTGATTTTGTAAAGCGGATGACATAAAGAACCCCCCAGCTCCAGGTGTGTACATTGCACTAGGAACAGCCCCACTACTCTGTAGCCTAATAGAAGCAAGTTTCTGCATGAATTGCGAAGCCAACTGAGCTTTCCGCTCCTCTTTCCGCTGGGCCAAAGCAACATAAAGTGGCTTAGCAGATATCATCTTACCATTCATTTCAGTCACTGCCTGAAAAACAAAGACACTAGTAATGTCCGGAAGAATTAAGCTTTTTGCCTAACGTTTAAGTCAAAAACCTCCAAAAACAAAACAAAATTACAGCAATAAACGCTATTAATCCAGCGTACCTTTGCTGCCTCTTCAGGTTTCTCAAAACAAACAAAACCGAAGCCTTTAGATCTCCCGTTATCATCACGCATGACTTTCGCACTTGTTATTTTCCCATAGCTCTCAAAGTTTTGCCGGAGCACATCATCATCAACGGTATCATCCAAGTTCTTAACGTACAAGTTTGCTCCCTGGTATCGCTGCATTCGTTCTGTTTTTTGCTGCTCATAGCGCCGCTTTAATTCAGCAGTCCGCTCAATCTTTTTCTGTGCACGACAAACAACGAGTTTCTTTCCGCTAGGAAGTTCATGATCATTCATTTCAGTGACTGCCTAAAAAACCAAGTTTCCTTACCAGAACGTGTCAAACAAGTTTCTAATTATGTGGTCTGAAAAAATATTCATTTGCACACAATAAGAAATGTTTATACTCACTTGCTCCGCTTCTTCTGGCTTTTTGAAAGCGACAAAACCAAAACCCTTAGACTTTCCATCAGCATCAGTCATAACTGCTGAACTAGTAATTTCCCCAAACTTAGAAAACATCTTATCTAACTTCTCTTTGTCTAACTCATCAGCAAAATTCTTCACGTAAACGTTAGTGAAGCGACGAGCAGTTTCTCCAATTTCACGCATACGAGCTGCACGTGGTTGAAACTTCCCAACGTATCTAAATTACGGAATATCAAGACTACTTGTAACGAGCTGAAAGCATACAAGGCATTAAACTGTGTCCAACTGACCACCGCATTAAAAGGCAAAAAAGATAACCAATAAAATATTACACTTTCTTATTCTCAAGCAACATTCCGTTGACCTTCTCGATTGCCTTCTGGGCAGCTTCTTCAGTTTCAAAATGAACAAAACCATAGCCTAGACTGTTAGACGCTTCGTCGTTAGCTACCTGTAATGCATTCATTCAAGGAAAAACACTTCGACGATGAACACTTTTTTAACACACATCAAACGATGAAACGGTAAAGAATTTTTCTCCAGATGCTAAACATGAGCTGATAATTCACAGTATTGAATGCAAAAAATCGTTGCAAATAACTGTTACGCCAACATGAAGCTCGTTTATCGAAATGAACTACAGTCTAAGCTTAATTTTAAAAAGTAGCAAATAAGTGCGGGGACTTAATGTGGGCCCAGTTTGGTTTCTGTAATTAGTAATAAAAAGCAAATAATAAAAAGCTATTGTATTACTGTATGCAGAAAAAGTCAAAATTCTCGCTATAGGATTAATTAAATTCACAGAACCGAGCATCCCCAAAGCATGTCTGTTTGAGAACACAGAATCTTCACAATTCTGATTTCTAGGAAATGAGGACATGCAAAGCGTAAAAGACTTACTTTGCAACTAAGAATATTTCCGAACATAGAGAAAGTGTCATAAATGGCCTTATTGTCAATACTTTTGTCCAAATTTTTTATAAAAATGTTGCCCGCGCCAGAACGTCTCATTGATGGGTCGCGCTGACACCACATTATTCGGATTGGTTTTCCATACATGACGTCGAAATTCATAGTATCTAAGGCACGTTCAGCTGAAATGTAGATTTCACAAAATAACCCTCTTCCATAAACACCAGAACAAAGATCAGGTCCTTTGAAAAATCAAAATTCTACTCACCATCAGCTGGTTGCTGGAAATTCACATAAGCATATCCTAAAGAACGTCTTGTAATAGCATCGCGACATACTCGGATCGACAAGACAGGACCCGCGGTACTGAACTTTTCAAAAAGCATGGCTTCAGTAACTTCAGGATGAAGATCACCAACGTAAAGGGAAGCCATTGGGTAGGATGGGTTCAGACCAGAACCAGGTGCGGAAGCTACTGCTGGTGCGGCCATACTTACTTCTTACTATATTTTATATTAGAAATCCTGCAAAAACAATGGTATCACAGTATGTCACATAATTCTTTTAATCTGTTCAGCACAGTAAAAAACTAATACCACTGCCACCACCACCTTACGACACTTACAATGCTAATTTACTAGATGATAAAAACAAAAAATACAAAAGACATAATCTACAAATCACATTACATCAAACCCTGCAAAAGAAAGCAAACTTTTCTTGTGTATTTGACAAAGTAACTAAGAGTAACACTTCATTTTCTCAGTCAAGCAACATCTATGAAAAACTGTCAAATTCCTTCGTTTGCTAGAAGTGTGAGAAGGCCACATGTGTTAAAAAAAGCACCTTCGCATTACTAACAATAACAGCAAACTTCACCCCCAAATGATGCCAATGAGGTCAACCTACACGTCTCTAATTGCGCCGCTTAAGCATACCAGAAGATTCAACAGTTAATAGGAAAATAAATGGACAGATACTCCTAACAACTATTTAATTGCAGCCAAGAATTGTCAACTA